GATACTTCAACTTCCACGTTGGAACATTTTGATTTTAGTTTTTTTGCGTATCCATACTGTGGGTTTTGTAAAGTGACGCATTTTTATCCTCTCAAAGTATTGAACTATTGAACATAAACGTCAGTTGACGGCAGGTGCAACCAAATTACTGGCTGTTGAATCTAAGGCATCATAAGCCTGAATGAGAAGGTGACCATCGGCCCCATACATTGCAATGTCGAATGTGCCGCTGTGACATTTGCTGGAGGGCAATGCATCCATTATGAAACGTTTGGCAGTTCACCGACAGCTTGCATTAACTGTTTTGCATGCACTTGATAGTGTACTGCAGCCGTTGGGTGGACGAACGAATGCCTTCATAAAGAGGACTTTTGAGTTCAAATAAAACGAAAGATTTAACGACAGTCAGTGTAGTTAGTGCGCTCTCCACCAATGTGCCACAAAGCTACGCACTGGAGGTGGTGAAACTCTGTTTGCCCGAAGAGAGTAACCTGGGGGAGAGTTCGAAGCTTAAGGTTGTTGAAACAATTAAGTGAAAGGCATGATACTGTATGGTGTCTTAGTTCACGTTTCCGTCGTTACTAAAAACTCAAAAACAAGGTAATTTCATGAGATCGTTGATGTCCACTACTTTGTAAATAGCATTGGCAAACTCCAATAAATGTCCGAATAGTTAATGGCGCTGTGGAAAACATTTGCGAAGATAAAAGTGGATAACAAACACTGAAATCGCTCACTATGGAGTTGGATTCTTGCAGTGGTGCATTGCAACTCCATGACCGCTCTGTTCGCAGGAGTGCAGAGCTTCTAAGCGATATCTCTTTAACCGGCAGTCACAGACGGTGCACTGCATTACAATGCACGGCGCACACAAAGCATGCGTGTTTGGATCGCCTTATCAGTGTTTCAGACAACCATAACATGTGCATAGAGAAATAGGAGGAGAACTTCGCTTGGAAATAAACAATTACGTAAGTGCCGAACAGTGGACTCCCGGAGCAGTTAGTGAAACACTCGTTAAGGAATATTCCAATACCACATTGACAACATACCACATAATGGATTGGGACGGTAAGAATTTCTTAGGTAAAAGGAACTACCTTGGCCTTTCACAAAGTACTTACCAAGGAATAACATTCAGAATCCGTTCGACACTGCCGCATATAAAAGACGCAATTCCTGTAGGTAAGATGATTAACTGCGCTCACAAAGTAGCTGCAACAGTTGTGTATACATAGACTAAACCGCGAGCAAACTGCGCACAACGCTGGTAGAAAGCATGATGCGGAGGCCACGGCGAAGTAGGAATGAGTTTGAGTATAAGGCTCTGCTGTGAGATACGTCGGTATCAATGCACGTGTCAGACTCAGAACATGACATTTACCCAGATATAGTCAGACCCCGGTTAAAGCTTCTGTGCTTATTGCGAAGCGGTGCCAAACTTAGATTATATTCATGTCCTACTGAAATCGAATTGCCTATCGATCCAAAGCTTATCTCACACTATTGACTGTCCAGATTCCCGCTACTTCGTAGATGACAACCCACCCAAGCGATCGAATAGCTGTTCATTTTTATTGCACCAATCAACCTCAAGATGCTTTTAATCAAAAACGCCGGTGAAGGACAAGGTCACGTATATCATTGAAAATACAGTGGTTTCCAGATGTTTGTGGCTTTTTATACGAGCACACTTAGCTCTTACATGTTCTACTCTTTAATTACAATAGTGCTGCATCACGCAGGCTCGTACTTCCGAACAATCTGTTCCAGGAACCGGATGCTCTAGTCCCTTTTATTAACACACCAGCTGGATCCCCTCGAAGCTTTTCAGAATACCGGTGCCACATCGCTTGTTTCACATTAGGTTTTAATGGAAATCCATATACCTTCAGTTGGGTTCAGTCAAGGTGAATGTTTTGCGAGTCGCATGGGTATTTTTGGTTAACAAGTTCCATATCATTGTGGCATGGCGCATTATCGCGTATAAGCAGGCCCGTTTCATCAACAGTCGTGCCGTTGGCATAATGTATTTGCTGCAACCACTGCGCACACCTTCCTTTGTTTTAACACTCTTAGGACATATTTTCTTAGAATTTCATCAGTAGCCGCTGTGTTGACAAGGTGCAGATTTTGTTTACGAGTGCTCGCCACCGTACAGTGCACACTGTAGCCACGTGCTGAACGGCGACTTGTGGGAGCACAAAACAGATGGAACATCGCCTCGTCAATCCAAAATGCTTGCCAACCTTCAGCTTCCGAGTTCATGAAGTACAAAACGCAGGAATTCCATCGCTTCTTGTTCTCCAGTGTATTTATAGATTCTGGTATCGCACGGCGCGTTTTCATGGTTATTAGGCGACCCTGCGGAGTCACCAGATGCAAGGTGTCTGGTTAATGCTCTTCTTGGTAGTGCCTGCCCTATCTGTAATCTCTTTGATGTCATGTTTTCGTGGAAGCTTTCAGCCCTATTTGCAATTAAATACGTTTTTATGACATTTTTGTAATATATGCTCACATTACGTGTAACTGTCACCGCTATGTGCTTGCACTCTTACACCAAATCAAATTTTGCAATGTTCTAATACCATATGGATACCAGAGATGCTGTGGGGCCATAACTATTACGAATCCCCTTATATCTGCGGGACTATGGCTGCCTCAAAGTAATGCTAAAGTTTAGCTAGAATGAGAAGGAACATATTTTGCGAAGCAGTGCGTAGATCTCAGTCGAGTTATAGCCCACCGATAAAAATACTAAATTCATGTACCAATGTAGTGGTCCGTCTTTGGGTTGGCGATTTAACGTTGCAAAGCTAGAAACTCTATTCACTGATTGCTTCAAAACCTAGCCGACCAACTCTAAAGAAAAATGCTTATCTGGGAAACTCAGTAGCATCCAGTAGCATCCGGTAACTAAATCATTCTTGCCGCTGTAACTGCGACTTGTTAAGCACGGCCCATTCGAACAAGCAACACCTGTTTCCTAGCTACATCCCAAATCAAATTTCGTTATAATAACACAATCTTCAGTAATCATTCTACCACAAAACTAGACAAGGGTGATAAACATGGCCTTCGGAAATGTTACAATGTTACCGGACCTACCTAGTTTATTTTCAATACATCGCTTTCCTACGATCTTTGTTTAGAGAGACTGTTATTGGCTCCACAGCCACTGCTACCGCACACACAACTAGGAAAAATTACTGTGTCGACTTGAGACCTCAACCGTGTCCGTTCATCCAGTATTATCAGACTTCACAAGTGGGATGAAAAAGTTGCACTCGAGTGTGTTACTTATCGGCTCGTCGCCATCACCGATTGACTTTGCCTCCGTGCATTCCAATTTTGACTCACAAAATTTAGAGATCACTGAAGCGTTAAAGGAAAATCCCTCCTATTACTAACACACTTTTACTAGTTCTACTTGATGCAAGATCGCTAGAAAATAAATTTATCTGATAAACTGGTTTGTGCAGTTAAACCTCACACATGCAACCTTGGTCGGTATATTACTTGGTGTGTCTGATAAATTGGATTGTATTCCGGAGATTTTTTGATATTATGTATAGTTTCGAGGCTGCGGAACAAAGCGTGTGAGTGAATGTATGGCGTATCTTTGCCAGTGAATAACAGCTGAGCTTATTCAACACACAGCGCCAGAGGTTATTGCTGAATCTCCATGAATTCTGTCCCAATAGGTTATGCTGCAGCAGTCAATGACTTTAATGTAGAAATAGATTCGCTGTGTTATTGTGCTGCCTCCTCCAAAGTGAACGGTAACTTAGTAGATACCCAAGTAAACGTGTTCGGTTGAATTATTGGCAAACAGTGGACTTGGAGTTTAATTGGCCTTGGGCTGACTACACTGAACTAACATATGTGACTAGCTCAGAAAGTGGTGAACTAATTTCTGAATATGGTAAGGCATAAATGGTTCACTCTGTATGAGCTAAAAGGCTAATGAAGTAAGTATTATAACTTATATTGCATGTTTTGGCGAAACACGTCTATAAAAATCCACAAGTCAAATCTCGTGGCAGGCGGTTGTGGACAAGATTAACAACTAGAAATAGATCCAGCTGGAAGATGCACATAGAGAAGTAATTGCAAACCGGACTTTATTGACGATGATTAAATAACGAGTTCTTCAAAGAAACCACCTAAAACGACAGTACAGTACGTCCACCAAAGCATTCCTCACATCCAAAATATTAATCTGCTTGTTTACTAACGTCCAAGCTCCTCTTAGTAAGTTGGGCAAACTTAGAGAACTCCAGGTCTTCCAACCACGGGATCTGATTATGATTACGGAAACTTGGTAGTGTCATGAGATATCTGATTCTGAGGTCAATTTACCTGACGGGTCGCTTATTTGGAACAGCAGAATTCGAAGGTGTGGTGGTGTCATTCTTAATCACCAAACTAATCTTCTATATGAAAGAATAAGCAATATCTTAACAGTACATCTACGGCTGCACCACTTGCAGTCTGTCGGGAAAGTTGCAACGTTGATTTGACAATTGTATACCTACGCTTCAAATTCTATTGAGTTACTCAACGCGCATCATTTGCCGATCACTTTAAGTTCGATATCCATAGCCTCCGCTTCAGTACAACTGTTGTTCCATATTTCGCCTGGTTACTGCCTGTAGCCAATGGAAGCACTCGAACATAGTCAGCCTTAATATTTGACACGTCTAGATGACGGATCTTGGATGAATATGTTGTCTACTTGAAATTTCTACGGCGCTTTTATACCGACTTCGCGGCTAGTCCACGAAACACTGGGAAAGTTATGGGACAGAGTGCACGTACATCTTTAGCTTTGCAAGAAGTGTGAATTCATTGTAGATGAATTATGAGTTGGAAGAAACTCTTCAACAACTCAACTCTTCAACAACTTCAACTCTTTGATAATCCCGTCGTATTTGTGTTCCACCTGTTATACTTTCCGCAAACGTAACACGAAACGCACGTTTATTCTACTTCTACAGGAGCAATTGCGTGTCTTGCCTGGAATTGTGCGTGCTGCTATCTCGCAGCAACAGTACTCTTGTGCAAAGCATACCAACAGCCGCAATATAGAGACTTCACTCATCAACGATACTGGTACTCCCGAAGTCGAAGTCAACTAGCCACAGTGCAATAAGATTGGCAACCATTGTCCGACAGGATTCATTTTATCCCAACAACTCAGTTACCCTATTGAATCAGTAGATTTTGAACTACATATGCGGCCATATCTTTAGACGAACTGAAGAATATGCATCCTCCGGATCAACGTCCCTCGTGAAGCATGGCATTTTGAAGATCACGAGCTCTCCTGTAGAAAGAACCTGTTCACTTCGCTGTACATGCATCAGTCTGCCTTTCATCCAATCTACTGGCCTTATTTGACCAATCATTTTTCCGTTCTTGATGATCCCACTATCGTTCATTCTCAGCCCTTCTGCAGCTGAGCACAGGTAAATTATCTGCTCAGTGCTTTACCCCTCATTTATTTCAAACTGTTTTACTCATGGATCACAACCCCTTTGTTACTGGTGTCAAGAAATGTTAAAATAAACGTCCTCCAGCCAATTTTGAGGGAAACAGCTTACAATCTATAGAATACAGTATTGCAGGCCTCTACCTACACGGGGATAAAATATGTCCTCCGATTTGAAACCCAGTGAAGGTAACCAACAGTAACGGTTAGACTATATAAGCTTAAAGTGACAGAATGCCTAATCTTCAGGTAAGATGAGGAAAAACAAGCAATCACTTCAATGCTGTCTTGCATCCGGTTGCACAACAGATGAGCGTCATCACATTTCTTAGTTAATCCTGAACCTTATACCCAGCGCACCCAGTTCTAAAAGCTAAGTGTAGCGGACGTCACGCAGTTGTTTTTGTCAACATCCGCCGTTGCGTAGATACATTGACAGCTAGAGAAAACAAAATTTCGGACCCTTTCAACATGGGGAATAAGGTTTGCAAAGTTAGAACACCAATTCGGTCAAGGAAATATAAGGTAGAAAATAACCATTTGCGTTCAATGGTTAATAAATGTAAATAAATGCCTAACTTCCTCAGCTCATTCAACTCATTCACTTTATGTCAGAGCGTTCACGTGCGACCTACGTTGATGGTTAGTAAGTATGACGTTTGGTTACATCGACTCACATTTAAAACAGATCCCCTAACCTGAAAAGAAAATATTCCATTTTAACTTAATTGGTAATTCTGTTATTATGCTGTGTCAATTTTACGTGGTTACATTCCTTCAAATGCTTTATTCGTCGTTTGATATTCCCGATGAGGTTGCACTTGCTGTGAATGGTGACATTGTTACTACCTGTCTAACACACTCCACTTCTCTTAGTGTCTCCAGGAAACAGTGAAACGTTACGCGGTCGTCCTGGCGGCGTTAGAATCAACGAACGTTGAACTATGAAAAAATGGTTTATCACGGGTAAAAAAGCATGAGCTTGACAAGTCCTGTTGGATGGTTAGTGTAAAAATTAAAATTGGAAGGATCATCGAATAAGTAATTCGTTGTCCCCAGCATCCACCGAGTTAAATACACTACTGAATAACGATAGTTTGAACTGGGGACGGGATGTGCACACACAAAACAGTAGAGAGCTACCGTAGTTCAGCAAGTGCGTGAGAAATAAAACGGGAAACGATAATGCTCCCTCGTTTGTTTTTTCATTTGTCAGATGTGATATGTTAATCCAGTTTAACTACATCCAGCTACATCCACATGGACACTACTACAAGTGTCCTCACCGCCACGTTGTGGAGACGGTCGTTAAGCACATGATACGATTTGCGTTATTTCGTCCTCCAAGTGGTACGAACTATACCAAATAATGCAAGTTGGAAAGCGTTTCATTGAAGCGTTTTGTGAATAGCGTTAATGTAGGGTAAAGAATAACATGAGTCGGATGGGCATTACAGGCACGGGACACACGGAGGGAGAAAACATTTCTTCGACAATCAAGTCGACTGTAGTGCGTAGCCAGTTTGAGCTGATGGCCTCTCGGTTTGGTATTTTGACTCAGCTGAAGCAGCTTGCCTCATGGTTGAGTTTGGTTTGTTAGTAGTAAGTAAACTATGATGATGAGGTCTCCTGGCTGATGTCGATATTCAACACTGTACAATCTCGATGAATGCAGTATGCGTTTGTAGGAGAGATGAAACAATCCTCTAACGAGTTTCGTCGCTATACTTTGTGGAGATTTAAGTGTATCGACGTGGCGCTTGTGGCAGGGACGCCAGGCCTGGATAGCATGTGCCATGTGAGCTCTCACGTAGGCGTTCAGCATTTGCGGAAAAATGGATGGCTCGAAATTGCCGAAAGCCCTCCGTAAGATTCCAAGCTGTTGACTGGCTCTCTTTAAAACCACTTCACTTTGTCTCGAGTAACCAAGTTCGTCCTGCACCATCACCCCGAAGTCGTTTTCTTGAGAAGCATGTCGTAACTACTGGTCTCCAAATCGATATGCATAGATAAGCTGATGGCCAATGCTTAGAAATTTGTACTTAGTCACGTTGAACTGAAACCGGTTGGCGGATGATCACGCATGACCCCCATCCAAATCGCTCTGCAATGCCTTGCGATCATCCGATGTCCTTATATCATGCCACATTTTGATATTATTTGCAAGTAGTAAGAAATTCGACTACAGTACACTGGCAAGATCGTTAATGAATATGAGGAATGAATGTGGCCTCAGTACCGGTCCTTGAGGCACGCCACACTGCGCGTCAGGACTGTCGGAAATGTGGCTGCGGACACTCAAATTCAGCTGGCATTGATCGAGGTAGTTGCCGATACAACCGAGTATAGGGTCATCGGTTCCATAGCTTCAAAAATTGTGCAGCAGGATGCGGTGGTACAAATAATCGAAAGCTTTCGAGAGGTTCAGGTGGACAACGTCGATTCCCATTCTGGCATCGGCTGACCCTGTACAGCTTTTGCAGTTTAGCAGCAAATTTGTAGTGCAGCAACGATTTCGACGGAATCCGTGTTGCTGTGACAATAGGAAATTGTTGCTCTTAAGATATCCCATCAGCTTCTCTGCAATTACAGGTTCCATGCGTTTGGATAAAACTGGAAGGACAGTGATTGGACGATGGTCCGAAGGCCCCTAAAGAGTACCAGTTTTATAAATAGGAGTGACTAATCTATGTTTTCACCTATTCGGAATCGGCATTTCGTCGAGACAACGTTGAAAGTACCGAGCTAATATTTCAGCAAAGCTCATGACAGCTGTCTTCAAGCCCTTCGTTTTGATGTCGTCCACGTCAGGTGAGCTGTGCACGCGCTATTACGTTAGGGTTTTCATCATACTGGCTGTCGTGAACGATACGTGGTTTATTCATGGTGGCGATGGAAGCTAGGTAAATGCGGATGGAATCTTGATTCACTCCGGGAAATATGGATGATGTGTTGGCGAAGCACGTTGGCTGCATCTTGTGCAGTTTGCGCAAGACCATCTCTTGCACGAAGAACCGGAATCCGCGCTGCCCTATGCAAAATTTGTTGACGTGGGTACACAGCAACTTTGGATATGTAGTCAATTTCGCCGCTAAATTGTTTTGATGCTGGTGTTTGTCTTCGCTTATGGACATGACGCAGTGGTTTCTTTGAGTTGTGTAAGCACCCCAGGTTAGGTTCCTTGGACAGACTTTGTAACCGTGACATTCTGAATTCATTACGGCCATGCATTTTCTTGTACTGCTCCTCAGGAACGAATTCATTTGCTTCTCGCGTAAGACCTTGCTTTCCGACGCATTTGCCTCTAGATCAATGATTTGGGTGACAAACAACATCCAGGCGATATCGGGCGACTTCTCGGCCATGAAGGACCAGTCGCTTTCCTGAACGATGTTGGACAGTATATGGTAATGTGTAAGGACATAGGTCTCCACGTTGTTTTCACTGTTGTACTCCGAGTAACAGATGTAACGGAAGAGCAACAACCAGTAATGGTTACGGCCAAATGGTACGTCTGTGGTCACAGTTTCCAACCTTAGTTTCTCGTGAGAGAGCATATGGTCCAAAGCAGGGTTTGTGTCACCTGTTCGGAATCGCGTGGGAGAGGTGACATGGTTGTACAGCAGTACATCGGTAAGCACCTCTTGAAAAAGCAGTCTTGAATGGTTCGCATTGCCAAGCTGGGACTTCGATTGCGTGTAGGTTGATGTCCCCCACCAGAAGGACGTGATCGTATGGTCGTGCTAGGACTCCTATCATCGCAGAAGCTAGGCATTGATCCATTTCCAACGTGGACATTGGAGGACGGTAAACTATTAATAGTAAACACACATAACCACGTCTTAGGTACACATGACAACAATGAGAATGGACGTTTCTGGGTCCTCAATGATATCAACCTAGAGATCGGCTCGATAATACAGGAGCACTCCCCTCCTCTGTTAAGTCGATCGTTTCGTATAAATCATATTGACTAGGGAAATCTCAGCATCCGTGTTCTCCGCGTTCAACAATTTTTCGGTGACCATAACTAGGTCCTACTGCGTGGAGATCTGACGAACACGAGGTTCAGTTAGCTTGCTGAGAAGACCTTGTGCATTGGTATACAATCAGGTGAGGGCACCAGGGGTCAGAAGCGTGTTTGTGAAGAGTCGTTTCCGGTGTGGGTCTATGCCGACTCTTGCGGCGTCGGCTGCTAGTCCTTTCTATGTGGGACTGATGACGCAGGCACTAGGGGCATTTCAGGTTGTAGTATAGAGCTCGCAGTGCCAACAAGACAGTGACCGTCCTGTCCTAATTCAGCTGTGGTGTGTTTTGGCAATGTTTCCATTCTGAGATACACGGTGACAGAATTGTATTGATTAGCTGTTTGCTGAATGTTACATTGTCTATCTGTGGCCCGATACCTATTGCCTTTATACGTATTTCCGGTGGCAGCAATTTGCGCTTTTTGTGCCACAATTTGATCACATGTTCTGCCATCAATTCGGAGTGCAATGATACTTTCATCACCTTCGTGATTATTTGATAACACTAAACTTAATGTCGATTTGGCGACGACATTTTCGAGTGAGAGCACTTCACGAATAAAACGCCATTCATCCTAGTCATGTGCTTTGACCTCTAGCCCGCTTAATGACTAGAGCTTGAGGACACCGTCAGCAGATAGATTTTTCGTCTTGTTATTTACGGCAGTTATCCGGATACTTTTTGCTTTTCTGGTTTTCACTCAAAGGAACAAGTGGAAATATTCGAACCGTGCATGTGGTGGTACGGAGGCGAGTGGCTGACAAGAGAACTGCTTCTGCATCATTAACAGACTGAAATGCTGCCTGGAGTAACCGCGCTTCACCGTAGTGCACGATGTCTGGGTGACGGACGATACTCATCATATTGACTGGTTTACCTTGAACCACTATTAGTTGACACAGGGAAACCAACTGATATTTGTCGTCCAGCATCTTATCTTTTATGGAGTTTGTCCCGGATTCAGTCACATTAGAGCATATAACAGTTAGAGAATTATAGTAGTGCTTCATGTTATCCCTTTTGAAGGGACCAGTGGCTGCTTTCTTCGATTGGACAC